CTTCATTTGACAGTTCTCCTCCAAATCACATCTTCCGCCATTATCGAGAGTACCTCTGCACATAAACAACATGCGCATGAACACGTGCAGAGGAAAGCAATGCGCATGCGTCGTGGTAATGGAGGATGGGACGAGCAAGAGAAGAATAGTTGAATAAAGTCTGTATTCTTGTTTTCTTTGTGCACAAAAAGTATTCTCGTAGCTTCATAAAATTAAGGTTGAACCACTGATATTAAATGTGACTATTTAAATGATGTCCTTCCTTACTACCATTCTGGGCCTTAAATGTGTCAGTTTTGTTGCTGTCTATGGAGGGTAAGAGAGCTCTTGGATTTCATCAAAAATATCTTAATTTGTGTTCTGAAGATGAACGAAGGTCTTACGAGTTTGGAACGACATGAGGGTGAGTAATTAATGACAGAATTCTCATTTTGGGGTGAACAATCCCTTTAATGAGGTATGGCACGTCTCATTTAATCGAAATGTGTCTGTTTCTTCAGGAAAAGGCATGGGAAGCTCCTTGGCTGAGACTAGAGAAGATGGCCAACACGCTCACTTTAAACTACTGTCAGTGTCTGCTGCGCATGGAGGAGTACTATGAGGTCATCGAACACACGACTGACATCATCAACCAGCACCCTGGTGAGTAACAGGAAATTGTCAGTTCTCCAGCCAATTACAGACACAAACAAATGGCAACAGAAGTTTGTCTGGTTTTGTCAGATTGTTGTCTGTTGGTGTTGGTGTTGGTCAGCGCTTGGTTTCACCGACTGAACATGTGGCGATTGTTGGGTCTTGGAATGCCTGAGAAGAATTTATGTACTGTAATTGGTTGACTGTCGCCATTGATCAGCATCTGTTGATGCGATGTGAATTGGCCTTATAAGATGTGTTTCCTGATGTGAAATGCACCAGTTTGAAAGCATTCTCTGTATTTGCAGGGGCAATGAAAGCCTTCTATCTGCGTGGAAAAGCGCACATGGAGGTGTGGAACGAAGCTGAGGCCAGAGATGATTTCATGAGAGTCCTGGATCTGGACCCAGGCATGAAAAAGACAATCAAGAAAGAGCTTGCAGTTCTCAAAATGAGAATGGAGTTAAAAAATGAGGAGGACAGACTGAAGTACAAGGGCATGTTCGCAAAAATGGCGAGAGAGGAAGGGTCTCTAGAGCTGGAGAATCCAGATCAAGAGATTTCAGAGCAAACATCTCCAGAACAAGAAACAACTCAAGAAAAACAGAGTGCAGAGGAAGCACCGCTAGAGAAAACAGGTGAAGAACAAACAAATTCCCCACAAACATCTCCTGAGCAAATAACTTCAGCACAGGAAGTTACACAAGAAGTTGTTTCACAAGAAGAAACATCTACTGCACTATCAAGTTCTGATCATGAGATACCAGAACAATCAACTACTCAGAATGTGACTCCAGAACAAACTACCACAGAAGCTACTCCAAAACAATTAGAAGCAGTACAAACATTTCTGGAGCAATCAGCTTCTGAAGAAACATCACCAGAACATATTACTCCAGAGCCAACCTGTCCAGAACAAGCAGACCAGGATCTTATAACTTCAGAACAAATGACTCCAGCTGGAATGACACTAGAAAACACCAGTCAATGAGTCTTCATCATAAAAAAATTTCAAGAGAGGTGCAACAACTATGATGTGGGATAAAATTGAACCCTTTTGACTTTTTACATCTGAAATGCGTTGTTGCTTTTCTTCATGTATCTACATTATAATGTAAGATTTAACTTAGTGTGACTGTAGTTTTGCCAGATCATACAATAAAATAGTACTCAATCAGTTGCTATGTTGTGGTGGATAATTGAATAATGAATAATGAATTCATCCGCAGCATTTTGTGTCTCAAAACATCATAAACTTCATGATAACTCAGTGTGTCCCACTCTTTTTGCACAGACATTGCAGTCCTATAATGCATTTAAATATTAAATATAAAATGGAGCATGTTTATAACATTTATCATGTTCATAAATTAATCATGTTTGAGTGATTTAAACATTTTAACTGAGCAAGTAAAACTATTTAATTATTTGAAGTCTCCTGGATTTCTTGTTTGCCAAATATAACTGTAAGATGTTGCATTTTTATGCATTGCATTTCAGCCTTTCATCAATTCATGAGCCCAGTTTGGGAAACCCTGTACTAATACATATGTGACCCTGGACCACAAAACCAGTCTTAAGTCACTGGGGTATATTTGTAGCAATAGCCAAAAATACATTGTATGGGTCAAAATTATATTTTTCTTTTTTGCCAAAAAATGTTCCATGAAGATATTTTGTAAATTTCCTACTGTAAATATATCAAAACTTAATTTTTGATTAGTAATATACATTGCTAAGAACTTCATTTGGACAACTTTAAAGACGATTTTCTCAATATTTAGTTTTTTTGCACCCCCAGCACTGAGATGATTAATATCCTGAGGTTTATGAATCAATTTAGAATGATATGTGTTCAGGAACAGTCTGGATCAATGTCATTACATCATAAGATATTATTTTAAGGGGATTCCCTTGTGTTTGTCTGCTGTTTCCCAGCATATCTACAGTGTCCTCATGTAACCTGTAACCGTGCTCGTCCTTGAGTGGGGACACAGATACATAGATAATTTAAACACCATCCACTAGATGGATTAATGAGAGATCACTGATAAAAAGATACAATAATAGGTGGTCAAGTCTCATGTAACTTTTCCAAACATCCTACTTTTATTTAGCAAAATATATGGGCTACTTTCTCTTTCTCTTTCTCTCTCTGTGTGTATCCTCCTTTGAAACACTTCAATCTTTGACTAATTGGTTATGTAACCAGACAATAAGAAAATAGCATAAGTAATGCTTGTTTATGGTATAAAATGTTTTAAAAGGCTCGCAAACAGGTATTGCAGCATCCCCAGGGGAAGAACATTGGGAGTATTACATAGAAAGTCCTGCGGGACCAGCGCACCTCCATCATTGATGCAGAGGAGGTGAGAGAGGAACATCACTCCACTCACTGCTGCTGTGCAACTACTTTAACCGTCTGTTCCTCTGCTGCGATCTCACAAAGGCACCTGCTATTTCATTTTTTACACAAGAAAACAGGTTTTTTTTTACGTCTTTTAAGACGTTTGGGAAATGCTGAAGTCCAGATGAGTCGCGTCTCTGTGGTTTAGTTGAGTGTGTGGGCAGAGGAGATTGTCCTCCGATCTGGATTGAACTGAGCGGAATTGAATCCATTAAACACGATCACACAGAGAGGATGACCATATCGACATGGGAGGATAAAGTCACAACGCCTCTTTGACTTGTTTTAATTAGTAGAAAAAAATTGCGAGAAAAAAAATCTGGACATATTAATTCGACGTTGAATGTCATATTAACCCTATGAATACAATCAAACGCGTTATTTTAAGTTAAAAAAGAAGAAGAAAAAAAAACGTAAACAATGGGAAATTAGCATCGCCTGACAACTTTGATAATATTTCACATTCGCCAAAAGGAGTTTTTTTTTAATCTTCCAGAAACATTAAGTTTGGATTTCCACAATGGCAATAAACACAGATACGGAGTTTGCGAAATCGAATCTGGGGGAGAGCGGAGGAACGCAACCAGCCGAGACCGAGAAACTCCTCGTGACCACCGAGCCCACCGGGGTGAAGACTTCCAGCTCCTTCACGGTCAGTGTCGGGGGTGACAAGGCTCTCGACGGGGACCAGAACGGCCACAGTCACCTCCATCATGCAGAGGAGGTGAGAGAGGAACATCACTCCACTCACTGCTGCTGTGCAACTACTTTAACCTTCTGTTCCTCTGCTGCGATCTCACAAAGGCACCTGCTATTTCATTTTTTACACAAGAAAACAGGTTTTTTTCTACGTCTTTTAAGACGTTTGGGAAATGCTGAAGTCCAGATGAGTCGCGTTTCTGTGGTTTAGTTGAGTGTGTGGGCAGAGGAGATCGTCTTCCGATCTGGATTGAACTGAGCGGAACTGAATCCATTAAACACGATCACACAGAGAGGATGACCATATCGACATGGGAGGATAAAGTCACAACGCCTCTTTGACTTGTTTTAATTAGTAGAAAAAAATTGCGAGAAAAAAAATCTGGACATATTAATTCGACGTTGAATGTCATATTAACCCTATGAATACAATCAAACGCGTTATTTTAAGTTAAAAAAGAAGAAGAAAAAAAAACGTAAACAATGGGAAATTAGCATCGCCTGACAACTTTGATAATATTTCACATTCGCCAAAAGGAGTTTTTTTTTAATCTTCCAGAAACATTAAGTTTGGATTTCCACAATGGCAATAAACACAGATACGGAGTTTGCGAAATCGAATCTGGGGGAGAGCGGAGGAACGCAACCAGCCGAGACCGAGAAACTCCTCGTGACCACCGAGCCCACCGGGGTAAAGACCTCCAGCTCCTTCACGGTCAGTGTCGGGGGTGACAAGGCTCTCGACGGGGATCAGAACGGCCACAGTCTGCCGCTGAGATCCGGATCAGCGGGGCAGCTCGGGTCGGCTCCTCTCTCTCCGTCCAGAGTGAGCCTGAGCCGCACTTCATCGACCGGTAATGCCGTCCAAGAGCAGCAGAAACCCAAAGACTACCTCATACTGGTCATTTTTTCCTGCTTTTGTCCCGTGTGGCCACTAAGCATCGTTGCATTGGTCTATTCAATTATGGTGAGTATCAATAAGTTATAATTGAAATAATTCAAGTCTGGGTGTTGTTTCCTAATTCAGACCAGCAGTCCCACATTGTATGGTAAATATTTCTGTACGGCACGAAATTGTGCTGAAAGTACTTGAACAAACAAGACAAACCTCTTTCATGTCAATAAACAGTGTCTATCTGTTGTATGGCAAGCCGCTTACAGGTAGGCTATTCCTTAAAACTACTGTTACTAGTACGCTACTTTAAAGTTGATTTCACTAGGAAGTCTGTAGTCACTAGTAGACTATATTTTTCCAAATTTACTGGTAACAGTAAATTGTTCCTGCATCTGTTAGTCACTTATTCAGTACTAATTTAACTACTTGTGCAAACAGTTAAAACATTTTCCAGTTTTCTTAGTACAAACTAATAGTACTTTATTAGAGACTAGTGTGTAATATATTTGTTAAAACTAGTAATTTATATATGGTAAAAGGCAATCACAGCTAGTGAGCTAAATAGTGTCTTAAAAATACTATCCAGGTACTAATACAAAGTAGCAAAACTGAAATAGATACTGGGATAGTTTAAGAAATAGAAATGTTAATAGTAATGTTAAAAATGTTAATAAATGATATCTGAATCACAGACCACCATAGAATTCAATGCATTCTTTACCAATAACAATGGAACAAGTTACTTGTTATATACTTGGGATACTTACTAGCAAGGGAATAAGTACTAGTATGTAATGAATAAGTACAGTAAAAGTGAAAACAATAGTAGTCACTATATTGATACTGTATATGATACTAGTCACTAATAGTTGGATTACTTATTGGCATTTAAAACAATGTAATAAATTAGATTAATTTTTAATAGTACTAGTTTAGTTTTAAATTAATACTAGTGAGCATAATTGCTAAAATGACTTGCCATACTCTTGCAAATCATATGCAAAAGCACAGGAGCTGCATTGAGAGAGCAGAGCACAGATCCACTGACAGGTGTGATTTACAGCCCTGCATATGCTCGCGGTAAATGGACCTGACTGAGTGCTGGGGAGCTATTCGCCAGAAAATTGGTGCAGACTATCTCCACCGCGCACCAAGCACCTACACAGCACAAACTCTAGGGACGGTGGAGCAAAACAGTCAATTAGAAGGCATAAATATGGTGCAAAGTGTTTCCAAAGCATAGATACAAATATAATTTTTTATCCCAAAAACATACCAAATAACATCTTTATTTCCATCCACATAACTTAGAGGTTCAGAGAGTAAGAGTGCACATATGTTGGGTGTGGTACCATTTATCTGGATTTAATGAAGATGTACAAGACATGGCGTTCATGATATGTGACCCTGGACCACAAAACCAGTCATAAGGGTCGAATTTCCGAAATTGAGATTTACACATCATCTGAAAGCGGAATAAATAAGCTTTCCATTGACATATGGGTAGTTAGGATAGGACAATATTTGGCCGAGATACAACTATTTGAAAATCTGGAATCTGAGGGTGCAAAAAAAATCTAAATACTGAGAAAATCGCCTTTAAAACTGTCCAAATGAAGTCCTTAGCAATGCATATTACTAATCAAAAATTACGTTTTAATATATTTACAGTAGGAAATTTACAAAATATCTTCATGGAACATGATCTTTACTTAATATCCTAATGATTTTTGGCATAAAAGAAAAATCAATAATTTTGACCCATACAATGTATTTTTGGCTATTGCTACAAATATACCCCAGCGACTTAAGACTGGTTTTGTGGTCCAGGGTCACATATGTCTAGAAAGAAACTATTTAGCACGATCCTGCGTTTTATAGATGTAGGGTGGCATTTCTTTTTTTGTCCCTCTCGAAAAGATACCCTTGTTAGCAGATAACAGTATGCACTGTTTTTCTAATCAGAGTCGAGTGCTTTTGTTCACTTTTTCATACTGAAAGAACAGCGACTCAGCAGCGCATAACCTCAGCAGGATACAAATGAGACTTTCCAGCCGAGTCACAGGAGAGCAGCTTTCAAACACATCATTTCAGTAAATTTAATAAGATACAGTCAAATTCAGCCTTAAGTGAATTTTGAACCATTGTGTACTTGGTGCTCATTACAACTTTCTAAGTGTTTCAGTGGGACATGCTCTATTGGAGACACACAAATTAGAGCTCAACAGTGGAAAGGCGCCATACAAATGTGCTCCGGTTTCTTGTAAAGAGCAAAATCCTATATAGATTTACAGTACAGATTACAGAATGATCCCTGCTGTGCCCCTATCAAAAGCCATCCCGCTCTACGCCCTTCACAGAGCCTTTGTGTTAAGACAGATTGAATAATAAAGAGTCCTAGACGCTCCTCATGAACCTGATCTAGGTCAAGTTTTTTAGGCTGCATTGAAAGCTACCAATATTCTACTGCAAACACCTGTACTTCTGACCACACTCATGCAAATAGTGTCTCCCAGTCTCGTTTGTCCACACAAATACAAATCCACCATGCCAACAGAGTGACAGCTGAAACCATAGCTACCTGACAATTCAACAGAGGGCCAGACAGATCAATTTAGCCTTCTAACCTGCTGTAAGGACCCCTCTGCATCATTTTAGGTCATAATTCTTAACCCTTTTGGTCAAAAATAAAATAAAATAATAAATTAAATAATCCAAATGGAATGTGTACAGGATTTCTATTAGAATTTGGATCATAACTCTTATGTGGGTAAGGCTTAAACTAGAACTGCATTCAAACTAATTCTAAAGACAATTTTTAGATGTAACACTATTGCATATTGCAAATATGCTGTATAAAATTCAGAATTTTCATTCTTTTTTTATTATAAACCTTATGTAAATCTAAAACAGCTACAAAACAACAACAAGCCACTTAGAAGAGTGAGTGAGACACAGAGGCATGTTATTATATATCTTGTTTGGTAAGTTTAAAACATTAACATTGACATTCCAAAAGTGGAAAGTATGCAATTAAATATAAAAAAATATTTATGATATAGTATTTTACATTAATGCTACATTTTAAAAAATAAATCCGTAAAATATCAGAAAAAGCACTGGCAGCTCATTACACAGGACATTATCCAATAATTTTATGGACATTCCCATTAACTATAAAACACAACCCAATGCAGTGTAAAATACTGGTAAAAATTAGTGCTGTCAAACGATTAATCGCGATTAATCGCATCCAAAATAAAGGTTTTTGTTTACATAATATGTGTGTATACTGTGTATATTTATTATGTATATATAAATACACACACATACAGTATATATTTTGAAAATATTTCCATGTATATATTTATATTAATATAATTGATACTATAAATAAATATTTTAAATGTATAAACAGAACATATTTTTCTTAAATTATTGCATGTGCGTGTATTTATATATACATAATAAATATACAAAGTACACACACATATATTATGTAAAAAAAAAGTTTTTATTTTGGATGTGATTAATCGCGATTAATCGTTTGACAGCACTAGTAAAAATACTGGTACTGGAAAATTCCTAATACAGTACATTGTCCCCTATTTTTTACAGATTTTTAGAGTGTACTATTAACTAAGGATTTCTGAGATGAGCACAACAAAAATAGACACAACACAGTCATCTGAATTGAAATCGCACCGCACATTTTCATTAATGTGGCTTCACCAATATTCCATATTGCTCAATTTCAACATCCCTCAAGACAAAAAACAAAATCATGAAACCAAAGGGTATTAAAACACATTCAAAATAAGAGCACAAAGATGAAAAAAGACAAAATAAGACAAAGCGCATCCCAAATTGTGTACTTATTCTATGCCGTTCACACTGACAATGACAAAAAGAAAAAGTTCACTTTAAATAACTGGATGATGCACTTTATTAACTGAAAAAATGAAGTGTGGAATGTTGGACATTTCATGCACTCAACTATCGCAGCTTTAATTACAAAGCAGAGGGGGAGGGGCTATCAGAATCTGATCATGAATGACAAAATAACCTTAAAAAATTAATACACCACACAGAGTACATAGTGCATAAATACATAGTGTATAAATGCATAGTGTATAGTGCGTCATTTGGGATGCAACTTTAGTGGCATCCACTGGTCAGAAGAGGAAGTCTAAAAAAACAACGACAAAAAAAAAGAAAAAAACGGGATGCTACAGAAAGATTTTGTTTTTGTGTTGGAAGGCTATATGAAAATTCCCACTAGGACAATTCCAGATGCATGCTCCAATAGCCACAGACATGGAAACAGTTCTTCTCAGCTGAGATCTAGAAAGCAATTGTAACGACGACATTCTAGCAAGGTTTTGTACTGTAGGCATGCATCAGGAACTCTGAAATCAATGAGCTTACAGAGGCAGTACAGTGGCAAATAAGAGGTTGTGGTACGCTGGAGCTCATGCAAGCTGAAAGGAGTCATTTGGCTTGGCATGGGGAGGTGGGGTGGATTTTAATGGCCAATCTCAGTGCAGTGGAAGGACCAGTAAAGCAGTTACTGCATATGCTGCAGCTTCTGCTGGTGAAATATGGCAAGCAGAGATGCTGAATGGCTTTGTTTCTGTGTCCGTTACACTATAACAGGAATTTGAGACTACGATGGGCTGCCATTTTCTGCTTCTCCAGTTTTACAAAAAGCTCATATAGAATAGCTATGGAAAATATTGATGCATTAAGCAGCTTGTTGCTTGTTTCTCAAACAAGCCCCATACTGTAATATGGTGTCATCATGTTCTCACAATGCTGAGTGAAACATTACATTATGAAAGCAAACAGCCAGTGAGATCGTGTTTCCAGTGCACCTGCTCATGCAGAAGCTTGCTTTCCACAGGCTAAATAGAGACAAATAAATATAAATACACTACATAAATGTGTATAATAAAAAAATAAAAACAAAAACAAAATGAATATTGAAAAAATATGAGACAATCAAAAATATTAACAAAATGGCAGATAGTAGTAAGCGCATAGTTTAAAAAAAAAAAGTTAATTCAGATTAA